GTCAATTTAAACAAAATAAAAAGCAAACAATTTTTAATATGGTTTATTAGAAATACAACCATTTAGGTAAACTGTAATAATTTACATAGTATGTTCGTCTAAACCACAAATTGTGAGACATATCAATTGTTCGTTTCACCACAACGAAAATAATGAACAAATGCTTCGGATTAGGGAAGAAGTTTTAAATAAGAGGTTACTTTCCATTACTAGCAATAGATCTTATCAGTTAAGCCTCGACGCGATCCCACCGGAAACCATTTTGCTTAATCTCTATTGAATTGGCCACACCAACTAACTTGACTTCATCCTCACCGTTTCATCCTTCACTAGTGCTTCGTCAGGGGATAGTTAGTCATGGGATCTAACAGTCGCATTACTAGCAATATACTCTATATCAGTTCAACCATCACGCGATTCCCCATGAAAGCCATCGTGATTAATTCTTGTTAGATTCATCACTATAGGCTAAATGACCTGCTTTCAACTTCATCTGGCATCTTTCACTGGTGCTACACTAATGTATACCAATAGCGCAGGCGGGGTTACCATAGGTATAATTTTCACCTATTAAATCGCTTCTCTACTTTTTTTTAGCTAAGATCAAAGTGTACTGCCTCGTGATTGTACACTGTTAACATTGGTGGATGCAATATTGCATCTTTATACATTAAAAACTTGAGGAAATGGTTGTTAGCTAGTAGTCATATTGCTAGCAATATACGCAGTCGTATTTGCCTTCACGAGGCATTCCCTTTTATCATGTTCAATTTCTGGTGGATCTGTTGAGACCACAGGACCTACCTTCATCCTTTCTGATAATTATCCATTAGTACCTCGGCAACGTAAACGAATAGCGCAGGCGCAAGTTTCATTACGAGCACATTTTCATTTATTAATAAATGCTTGAGACTATTCTATAATATGTTTTTTTTATCCTCACATGCCATAGAACATATCTATAGGCAACTAAATTGAACAAAGGGCAGAAAATCATAAAAATTGTACAAAGAAAGAGGGACATTTTGTACAAAAGTCGCTAGCTTGTGTACCTCTGCTTCATTCGATATGCTGTAGTTGTGCTTGAATGGCAGTGCTTCGGTTCGAAGGGTGAGATATGACAGTCAAATTACAAGGCAAGAAAACATAAAATCTTAATCTTCAAGAATGACAACGCACGAGAGGTATCATACTAACACAGTATAGCCTCCGTGATGTTTATAGTGAAGGTTACCATTTTTCAAAATGAATGGTCGGCACGTTTGCTATTCTAAGTGTCATAAAAAAAACTTATTTTAAACATAAATAGCAATATGTAACCGCCATTAGACTAGCCTCAAATATAAATTCATTCTTGCGGCTACTAAATAATATTATTCCACTCTGAACTAGTTTTTAATAATGTCTACAAAGCCTTAAGGGTTCAATAAGTCAACACGAGTAGGTAGTCATGTTTAAGACGTAATATTAATACTTGTGGTTTTACAACTATTATAATATTAAAGTTATTATGCTCTCGTAAACTCTTCAGTGCTTATAGTCAGTTGGTCTTGGCATATACAAGATTATACCTATTTTCAACGGACCTCAAAAACAAGGTTTCCAATTATCTGTGGGTATTTTTTGTATTTATTACTTCATAGCTCCGTCAGTTTTAATCCGATTTAGGGAATTCTTTTTTTATCAAATATGTTTACAGATTGGTCCCATAAAAATGTTATCAAAATTGGTCCAGTAGGTTATAGATAAATTTAAATATAAATTTAAATAACTGATTTTGCCACAAGTGATGTCGGTTTTTTTTTGTGAGACACAACTTTAATTTTTTTTCTTTTATTTATCAAATTATAAATGACTTCCGTGTTTATTTAAAATCGAAATAATAAGTTTGGTTGTATTTATTGTTTATAAGCTGTCTTTGCACTTGTTACGACAAAATTTATATGAAAGAAAATGTTTGAAAAATCGTATGAAAATGTGAAAAATATGGGTTGAAAAATCTCCATAGAAATAAATTGACAGGTTGATATATAAAAAATATTAAGTCGTGGTAGAAATTTTTTATTAGTTATTTTATTTGTAAGAGTTGGTGTCATTTTCTTTATTAGTACAACCGCGCTAAGCCGTATCGGACAACTAGTTTAGAATATATTTTAGAATTGTTGATCTCTAATCAGATAATTATATTATTGCAATTAACTCTTTTATATATAAATTATTATGTACACGAATCGAAACATCTGTTGTTTTTACAAAGTTTTATATAAATTTCATCTCAACGATTCGTTAAGTTTATTTCATCGTTGTTTCTGAAATCAAAATGTTTCTCTTAATAAGAGTGATCATAACTTTTGTAGGTACAACGAAATAACTTATTACTACTAATCTTTTAATTTTGCAACTTCACTTCTCATCCTAAACTTCAAAAGTCTTTATACATTTATTTATATACTATCTTTTACCTGCGACTTCGTCCTCGTGAGTGGAATGTGTTAATTAATCGGGTAAGAAAGTAGTATATATCCTTCTTCATCCCATGTACAAGTAGATTAAATTTCATAATAATTGGTTTAGCCGTTAAGAGGTAACAGACAAACTCATTTTCTCCTTTGTAATATTATTTTTTATACAACTTAGAATGGCAAACAAGCTAACGGCCCACCTGATGGAAAGTGGTCGCATATGGAATACTGTTCTCACCTGTGGGCAGGAGCGCCACAGTACCAACTCCTTCCGTTAGACCGCATTCAAAGTCGGGCGGCTCGAATTATCGATAGTCAACGCCTTACTGTCCGACTCGACCCACTGAAACTGCGCAGAGATGTTGCATCTCTGTGCATCTTCTACCGAATTTATCATGGGGAGTGTTCTGAGGAATTGTTCGGATTGATACCTGCTGCTGATTTTCACCACCGTACAACCCGCCACAAACTAAAGTTTCATCCCAATCATCTGGACGAGTGGCGGTCTTCCACCGTGCGTTTTTCAAGGCACTTTCTTCCACGCACAACCATTCTTTGGAATCAACTTCCAGCAGCAGTATTTCCGAACCGATACGACAACATAACCTTCAAGAAAAGAGTATATTCCTTTTTAAAAGGCCGGCAGCACACCTGCAATGCCGCTGGTGTTGTGGGTGATCATGGGCGGCGGTAGTCACTTACCATCAGGTGAGCCGCATGCTCGTTTGCCCCCTGTGTTGTAAAAAAAAAAAAAAAAAAAAAAAAGTGGTAACCGTCACCTATAGACATGAGCAGTACCATGGACATAACAGAGTATACTGTTTCTCCCATGATACCCCCAATGCGTTGCCATTCCTGAGGACTCAGGTGTTATTCCTCTGTACCCTGTAAATTGCATATCATAAACAAATATAGCTATTATATATCAGTGTGGTGCCAGCATAGATTAGGCCACCACTTCCGTTCCCGTAGGTGTCGTAAGAGACGACTAAGAAAATTTTATCCCCCCTTAAAACTTCACCAAAACCTAACTGCAGTTGCTAATCCGCCTGCGAAGCGTGGTAACTAGTAACTACTAGCAAAACTTCTTCAGGGAGAAGCCTATATTCAGCAGTGGACAGTTAACAGCTGAGGTGATGATGATGATGATGATGATGATAGCTATAATGTAATAAATTCAACGAAAATGAGGATTACAATACCTACTTTAGACATAATATATCATAATATATATTGACGTGAAACAGTACATAAATATATCCTATAAGCTAAGTTAGAAAATAACGCACCCGTCTGGGGGGAAAGGGATTGTTAGTAATGCGGTCTAATAGCCTCGTTACTAGGAATATACCGTCTCAGGTCGACCTCCACGCGGTTTCCTCTGGAAACCATCATGTTTAATTCTTGTCGAATTCATCATGGTGGGCCAATTGACCTGCATTCATTCTCACCTATCATCTTCCACTGGTGCCTAGTCGGTGTATACCGATAGCGCGGGCGAGGACATCATTCCATTTTCACCCATTAAAAAAAAAAAACGCACCCGTCTACTTTGGCGGATTTGAATGAAATTTGATAGAAATTTCAATCAAATCCGTTCAGTAGTTTTCGTGTGAAAGACTTACAAACATCAGCCTGTTCATCGTTACAATCTCATTTATTATATAAATAGAATATGTCAAATTATATAGTAAAAGGTGAAAAAATGTTTTCATATTTCGACTGTAAGAAAGTTATTCAGTTTCATGTAAATTATGTATAGGATTCGGCTTGATATGTCGTATCTGACTTAACCTAACTACTTTAATTTTATTATAAATATTTGAGCAAATTTATTTATTTTATTCGTATACCAAATATTATCTACTTGATTAGGGTTCGAAACAACATGTAAAATTATTCAGTTTCATGTACCTACATTATCCCTAGGTTTCGGTTTGATATGTCCTTTCTGAATAATCCTAACCACTATAGTCTTATTATAAAGAAATAAGTAGATTTATTTATTTTATTCTTATACCAATTATTATCTACTTGATTAGAGTTCAGAAACACATGTAAAAGCATCGTTATAATAAATGAAAAAATAAATTAAAAAAAATCTGTACCGAGCCGTAGTCAAGTTCATAATATCATAATCCTTTCCCAGTTGCCGTGGGCTTAGTTGTTACCATTTACATTCTACTTAGGTTAACGTTCTTTGGTAGATTCCGAATTCATGGACAAATACTCAGTTACTAATACTGAAAAACATTATTAGAGTTATGACACATCTAAAAAATAGCGTATGTACTCTATAAATATAACTCGAATTAGTGTGAAGTTCATAATAACAACCTACATAGAATAAAACTGTTTTAATTTAAGTCGTACTTGGACAGTGAAAGCACACGCCCTAGCTGAAGAAAGCTTGATAGGGCGGGCGACTTCCTCTACAACGGCGCCTCTAGCGGTTGACGCTGGGAACTATGCGCTGCAAGTCTATTGGCTTATTGGGGTGACGTCACTCGACGTGTAACCAATACGGCGGGCGCGCGCTCGTAGCCGGCCGCAGTCCTCGTCGCCGCGCCTTCGTATGAGCCGTGTGTCGCTGTCGGCATCCCCCCGCGCCCCGCGACGAGCCGTCTCGCCCGCATTCTAGTTGTGGGTGTCGCGCTGTGCAGTCCTCGCGAGTGCCGCTGAACTCTGTGCGCCGTTTGTGAGTGCTTTAATTCCCGCTCGAGTGTCAGTGTGAAGGAAGAACCAGTAGCCCGCCGCAGAGGATGTTAACAGCTCACGGTGAGTGATGATATCAAGTCCACGGAGATATATTGTCTCATGGCAACGACACGTGAACACGTTCTATCTATAAAATGTAAACATACAACTACTAATTTGATTTGACGTTATCGCTACTTTTAACTGGGAGTACGCGTCCGGTGATTCAGTTGCGGTTGCAAATTAACAATAAAGACTTAGCAGACGGGACTGCGCACGGCGGGCGAGATTGTCGAGTTCCTGTAAGATTACGGACGTGCTAGTGTCGACGAGGTGACGATATCGATAAATTGATGTCAACTATAATATTCTCGTTTAAAGTAATGAATATTCGATGTTAACCTTGGATTGGTTCAGGGCTGGCGATAGCACGATAACGCGACCTTGAGCCGAAGTCTCGCGAATGCCGGCCGGCGCTGGAGCGCGCGAGCTCGCGGAAAATGTCCAGACAAACAACGATAATAGTGGCAAACACAATGATAATGCTGTTAAGCGAGAGACTCATGCAGGAAACTGAACGGTCAAAATCGTTCCATAAATGCTTAATCGAAACGTTACTTGGAAGCTAATTTAAAACTCATTTGCTTTAAATCGAGCGAGGAATTTAAATTGAAAGCTGATAACAAAGTAATAGAGGGCACTACTTGTGCTGTTATTGACAAAGTGGAAAATAAAACAAGAAGTATCTGCCTAGCTCTTTTGGATGCGTTTCAATTAACAATGAATGACTTTGTTCAAATGATTAATAATGTCATTCAGTGAGTAATTTAAATGAACATAAACAGCTATTTTACCTTATTTTCAATAAACATATAATATATTTTATAAAAAATAAGGGATCCAGATTAACAAACTTAATATTAGACAAAACGTATCTAATTACAAGATTGCGCTACTTAATCAACTGTATTCTCTGCATCTGCATTCTGATAGTCAATTTCTATAGCAATATTTCCTCTAAAGTTGTTGCATTTTTTTATGTCAGTCGATTCAAGTCTGTCCGGTTGAGATACCTCGATACGGTCAGGTTCGAGTTGTGTTGGTCCCACGCCTCGTTCCACATACTCATTTCTTTTCATTTACAATTGGAACGGTCACTTGGACTATCTGCAATTATATTGCATAAATGAGAGGAAAAATTTAAACCTACTTACACAATCAGTAATTTTAATGGATTCCAATTAGAATTTTCATAAAATCAGCCATTAATCGTAATACTTATTACAAATGAAAAAAATAATACATATATTATTGGCACAATTCCAACAATTCCACAAAACTAATAACGACACAAAAAAGTATAAGAAAAACAGAGCTACAAAAATTAAGAAGATTTGGGATTCTTATTCGCACTTACGCACTCGAATATTGAAAGAGCGGTTGCCATACACAATGGCGCGCCCTGTCTGATAAATTCGCGCTGCGTATGTGCGAGCGAGATCGAGATAATTCGCATCGACTGAGCGAACCGGCCATGCGAGATGCTCAGTCGTATCATAAATATTAATCAGGCGCTGGTGTCAACAGCCACCGCGTAACGTGACACCGGCGCGATTCGCTGCTAGCCTGGTACACAGAGTAGCAGCTACACGGGAATGTTTCAGATAATACAGACACAAAGATTTAAAGTCTAACATTGTGTATGACAATTGAAACATTGTTTATATTGGATCGTTACCTGTGATCTTTACACTGTGTAAACTATAATGAAGAAAACTAGATTTTAATATTTTTAGGTAAATTTTATTACAGAATTAAAGAACGTAAATGTATTTAATAGATTATTTAATAAATTTAATAATGATATGATTGAAATTTTCTTAGAACAACTACTATTCATTGATTCCCTTCTAAGATTTTAAATGTGGATATTGTTATTCAGTCGAATATATACTGAGTTATTAGTCTACTGTAATTTTAAACATTATAACCTTGAGACTCTCATGAAAATGTACAAAACAACATAAATAACAAGGTATTATGATAACATTCTTTATTACATATTAGTTTTCTCTCGCTTATGTATATTAGTGATAATTGTTATCTTTTGCACATCCGTTTATGCTTACGCATTCAGCCATGACCTGCCCTACAACTCCCTTACTGTGATTGGTGAATGCACCACACTTTTATGGTAATTTACTTCATTCCTTTGCACGATATGCCTCAGTAATACTTACATGTAATAACTATTATGCTATTTATACTTAATATGTGACCGCTATTAAATTTGTTCCTATAATAATTAACTGCTTTGACCTATATATGTATTCTCTGATAATATTATTGACAGTCTGCTTATTTTTTGCAATATTTTGCACTTATTATTATGTTGTTTATTGAAATTGCTAGGTATGATATTATCCTCATCTACTTTCTTATATTTGCTTCAATATAATTTTATTTTAATTTTTCAATTTCTTCAAGCTTTTAAAACTACTATAATTTGTCTTCTGATATTTAACACTGCTTTTTTAAATATTCTATTATAATTTATATTACTAATAACAAATTATACCCTTATATTTGTTATTTATCAAAATATTAAAAATCCTCAAAATCTCAATGCCACAATCGGAAGTTACTCGTCGTTGATTCTTCGCTATGTCGACCTTCATGCATGACTTTTACATAAATTGGCAAAACCTGTTTTTCTTACGTTCCACACAAAACATATAATAAAAAATACAACATAGAACAACTACTATCATTGTAATTTTCCAGTTTTGGCGGCATGCAAAATATTTTGGTGCCATAAATATCTGTCACTCAACATTGAACGTTAAAAGTTAATAATTATTCATTTGAATTTTAACTAGCAGTAGATTGTTAGGTTTTATCAAGACTTGTTATGAATATCTAAACATATTCAATATGTCTCACCAGAGGGAGACTTTGTACAAAAGTCAATTGCTTCTGTACCTCTGTCCCATTCGTGTTTCAACCGTGAAGCAGCTGTGTTTGCATGGCTGTGTTTCGGTTTAAAGGGTGGGATATGGCGTGAATTTACTGGGTACAGAGGAATAACACCTGAGTCCTCAAGAATGGAAACGCATGGGGGGTATCATGGGCGAAACAGTATACTCTGTTATGTCCATGGTACTGCTCATCTTTATAGGTGACGGTTACCACTTTCCATCAGGTGGGCCGTCAGCTTGTTTGCCATTCTAAGTTGTATAAAAAAAATGCTCACATAGCTGAATTTGGCTTGAAGAGCGGGATATAGCAAAGAAATAACGGGCTAAGAAGATATAACGATATATGATACCCTAGTGTCTATAATATCCTCAAGAATGGTAACCTATGAGTGCTATTACAAGCATTCTATAATATTTTAATGTAATAACTACTGGTTTAACTTACGTCGAGAAAACTCGACTGGTTTCGGACCATTCGGGACCTTAATCTTGAGCAGCAGTCACGCATGCGCAAGTCTGACGTATTTTATGATTATAATAAAATTTTATATTCTATGATATCTGTGGTGATCTTTATGTGTATGGTTGATCTTTGTGTTTTGTGTTCTCTTCTTCCATTTACATTAATATGTCAGGCATGAAAGTATTTCGGAGGATTATCTACTTAATTATTTTACTTATATTGGAAATAACATTCTTATTATTAAGACACGCATTTATTTTGTCTCTCAACTTATTACTGAATGCAATAAGACCGCTTTTTGTACTACACTATACTTATCGAAAATTGTTCAACAAATCCTGTAATGTTGGTGCAATAAAGTGTTAAATAAATGCAATCAAATGTAGGTGTATACTACTAAGAAAATATTATATTACTTGTTACATTGTGTATCGCTCGTAATATGTAATAACTCCATATTATACAGATAAATAATGTTGTTGAATATCTTATAAACTGATATAAATAGAAAAAGTAGTTAAACTGTAATTAAAAACGAATCACCAGTACGATAGAGCAGGTTAGGGTTGATAAAGCTTTAATTGTACAGGTTAAAAGCTTAGTAAAAATAGTAAAATTGAAACGTAATTTAAGTAACAAATATCCAAACATGGAAATCTTTTTAATAAATTCCATAATTATATTATTAGTACTATTACAATGAATTCTCACTATCTATTCTTTTCTACCATAGCTATTTTATTACTTTATTATTCTACGGAGATTCTACTAGATGACTGTATCTGTAGGTCAGGACTGAAGTATTCTCATTCAATAAACGATTGATCATTAGTTATATCACTTTGACCATTATTTATCTGCTTACTTCTATTATCAATTCAACTTCATTTATTATATATTTAAAATCGAAATAAATAACAAACACAATTATTTTACAACATTTACAATCTGACATACCGTCTTATAGAATCAACTTAGGGGAATTCAATATTAATATATATTTCTCAAATATAATAGCAGTGATTGGACTGGAATCTATGTTGTAGCATAAATAATATAATACAACATAATACTGGTTACAGTAATGTATCAGTCAAGTTCAATACAATAATCTGATATAGGGAATACATAATGAAAACTAGAAGCATTATTTTCATGTGTTAAACAAATTTGTTATACCTACTCATGACCAAACGTATTTTATTATATACAATTTACATCATGAAATCATGTTCGAATTGGATATTACAATAAATGTAAAAACTAAAATTACTGTCGTGTAACTTAATTATGATTCCATGATATTACAATGTGTTGTTACAAAACTGAAATGCAAAATAAAACTGTAGTATGAAATTGTATTTAATATATTTAATAGCTTACTTGTTTTTAACTTTAGTGAGACTGGATCAAGAGGGGCCGTTAACTTTTTGTCCAACAGCTATGCGTGTGAGACCATCTGTGAAGTTTTTGCGTGCAAGTGTGTGTATGTAACTTTTTTTTTCTCGAATATGTGGCGTCAGCCAGCTCGTGGTTCTTGGTCGTGCTTGTTAACTGTTTCTTGTTTTTCCACCATTAATATTATTCCTTTTGTTGCGACTACAATTAAGTAAGCATTATTTTGTTCAAGTGCGTATGTC